AGTACTGTGAGGTAACGTTACATACAGTACAGTACTGTGAGGGAACGCAAAAGAAAAAAAAAATCCCCCATGTCCCCTCCGGGGCTCAGTATAAAGCATCCAAGAGGTGCACACCTTTTACATGCACCATCTCCAGCATTTATTTAGAGTACCCCTGGAGAGGTCCACCACAGAAGGAACAAATCATTTGTAATAATGATAATGTTTTTAAATCAGACCAGAACAGTGAACATCTTGTTCTCGTCTGTTACTCTGAGCATGTTCAGAGTCGGGTGGGGGGTACTGTAGTCTAACAAGCTTCACCTGATTCCTGCAGATCTCCAGTTTGATTCTGACGTCTGTCTGTCTGTCTGTCTGTCGCTCTGTCTGTCTCAGCTCTGGAGAAGATGACCTTGAGAAACGGAGCAGAAAATGGAAACCCTGGGATCTCCGTAGAAACCAGTCCAGAGGAGACTCCTTCAAATTGCTCATCATAGCTCCATGCTGAGCTGTGAAGGACACAAACTGAACCGGGTCTGGAGTGGGGGGTGGCTTCTCCAAGTTCTCAGTCTGTGGGATTGGACTCGTCAGCTGACAGTGGTTCTGGTCTGGAGGACAGATGTCAGCCAGCTGTTGTGAAAAATGAACTGCTCTTTCTTTATTTAATCAAACCTTTCAGGGGGCACTTCTACTTCTGAAGGTTCTACTTTATTATTTCTTCTCACGTCTTAAAATAATCAGTGGAGTTGGGTTCTGCCCACGTTGAGGCTCCTTTACCATAATCTTCATGTCCGTGCAGTCTTTAAACGGAAAACATTTACTGACATTGTTCTTAACTCTTACTTTGTATTTTCTACTAAACACCCTCAGATCTCTGCTCTGATGTCATTTCCTGTGTTTACCTGTTACATCATCGTGTTTTCTGAAGAAAGTTGGAACAAACACCAAGTTACTCTTTATATATGTATATAAACCTGCCGGGCCAGGTCGGGTTCTGATGTTTGGAGCATGGACAGGTTGGTCCTCGTTGCTTCAGGTCAGAGGTCAACACAATCAGCTTTGTGTTCTGTGTTGAGTTGGGACCGGTTCTGTTGGAACTCGGTCCACAGACCTGCAGAGATTCTGACATGTTCTCAGCTTTTAACGAAGTGATGCTCAAATTGTTTTGAACTGTTTTGTCTCCAGCTGGTTCATGTGCTGGACTGGACCTTGTGATGGAAACAGGAAGACCCGAAGATGTCTCCTCCACACAAGGTCCTGTCTAATGAAACCTGCTGGAAAATAAAAGCACCTTTCTTCCTGTCTGTGTTTGAAGTTTTAATCACTTCCTGAAGGGTTCGTCTTCTTTGGGTTCAGGTGGTTTTGGAACCACAGCCCTGTCCTGTTCACTGATGAGGTTAAAACAAGAGGAACCCCAAATGACTTCAGTATCCATCATTATTCATCAACAGGAAGTTGTACAAATCAGGGTCTCCTCCCTGACACCAAGACCTCCAGGTGTCTGATCCACGTCAGCCGACTTCCTCCCAGCTCTTGCTGGGTTTAACTGAACTCCCGGAACATTTCGGGTCTTTGAACCTTTTGTCTCCGTCCAGACTCGTCCTGTTCAATAAAGTTTTCCGAGTTGAATTAGGACAGTCCTGTTAGAGAATGTCTGAGCTATCCTGTTTTACTTTGTTTTTTTTGTTTTTTTATTATATTGCACTGTAGAAATTTGACATTAAGTTTTTTTTTTTTTTTAAACAAATTCTATCAATTATGACAGCAATGGAAGCATAAAACGTTCAGTGGGGTAAATACTTTGAAAAGGTATTGTACATTTATATGATGGTGTCCCAATACCATTTTAATTTTTTTTCCCAGACGGTACAAGTACTCAGTTTGTGTACTTGCTGACAGTTTTATAAACGGTGCATGACTTTAGAAACTGGTTTCCTTTAATAAAACTACAGCAGTCTGCTGTCTGCACACCCCTCGTGTCTTTCTTTAAATATCTCTAAACAGACGTGTTTTGTCCTCAGTTGTTTGGGGGAAGAGGAAACCATGTCACCAAGCATAACATTAGTACTGCAGTGTTTTTAAGAGTACAAGTGCCAGTCAGGCCCAGTAGTGGTACCAGTATTGTATCTTGCCCCCATTAGTATAAACAGCCAGACTTGTACTTGATGAACTTCAGGTAACAGCTGTGAGCGTTAACCTCCGTGGTCTGTTTGTGAAGGTGTACATTTATTTAGATGTTAAAATGTGCATTTTAAAGCTTTAGCGGCTATTTGTTTTATGGATTATTATCTAACAGCATACAGTTTGGTCAAGATCAACAAAAACCTGTAAGATGTTTATTCTAGGACCTGACCTTTGGGGGTGCTTAGCCCCCAGTGCTGACAATGGTAAATGGACTGTACTTACTAGTGCTTTTCTATCTTATCAAGATACTCAAAGCGCTTTACAACACAATCTGTGTCATTTACACATTCATACAGCACTCTATTTCTGTACAAAGACTAATCAGTGTTTTATCACGTTCATTCACCCATGGGACACACATCAGAGGCATTTAGGGGTTCATGTCTTGCCCAGGGACACTTCGGCATGTGACTGCTGGTGGAATCAAACCCCCAACTCTCGCACTGGAGGATGACTGCTCTAACCACTCAGCCACAGCCACCACAATGGCTCTTAGTTTGAACAACGCACCCCCTGGTGAGGTATATGGCACCTGGAGGTCTCCCATCCAGGTACTAACCAGGCCCGACCTGGCTTAGCTTCTGAGATCACGTGTGTTCAGGGTGGGGTGGCCGTAAACGAGTAGGTCAGTCACAAATAGGAGTTTTAAAGGATCAGAACAAAGACTGAACTTTGATAAGTTACAACATATCTACACACAAAAAAAACAACTAGCTTTATTAACCTTTAATTTAACTATTACCCTCTGACTGCAAGTGTAATGCAAAACCCTGACAATGTTGTCAGAGGAAAAGTGGGTGGAGCTCCTGCAGGTAAGGGGCGTTTCCCTTCGGGACAAGTTCATGTCGCTGATTGGTCAGTTGCTGACGAGCGTACTTAACTGTCGAGGATTTGACTCGTGCAAAAATAATCAGATTTTACTGACCCGTTAAAGAGTGTCGTAGTTCTATTTTCAATATTTTGATTAATTTAAGGTTTGACAACCGATTTTTCTTACAAAATCCTAATGATGGCTTCTTTATTTTTCAGGGGTAGAGTTAAAATTTAGCACCTACAAAAAGAGGCTAAACTCTCCACTGATGTTTACGCTGCTGCAAGCAGAGCCAGTCATTCTAGTGTTTCTCTAGTTCTGTGGCTCCAGCAGAACTAAATGAGCCGAAACTTAAAAAAAAACCACTTTTCAGACTTTTATTTCTTTAATGTGTGAACACCCCCAGTGCATGATGGGACAGAACCTGTCTGCGCAGCAGAGTTTAGTGTTTCAGAGAATATAACAGTTTCTGATTGTGGCTCTGAAGTAAACGAGCAGGTTCAGAGCTGGGGGGTTTGGGTCTGGATGTTCTGTGCGACCCAGTTCTCCCCCAGATTGTGGACGTAGCGGTCCGAGATGGTTCTCCTCAGCTCGTTGATGTCTCTCCTCAGCCGGCTGACCTGGAGCAGCTTGAAGCTCAGCTCCTCTTCACCTCCATCTTCCGTGGGCCCCCCCTCGTCAGCTGGAGCACTGAAGGCTGGACAGAGACAGTAGACAGGTGGGGGCACTGTTAACCAGTTAACTTGTTTTTAGTAAACCGTTTGTGATTAACTTCCCGACCAAGTGTCGGTTCTGGACCTCAGCTCGTCTGTTCTGTTAACGACATCAACATATCGGCTGTTTCCGTGGAAACGAACGAGACGTTCAACCCATGAGACAAGATTTAAAAAAAAAAAAACTCAACCTCCTCAGAACAATTCACCTGTACATGACCTGATTCCCCATCAAAGCTGTGACCTTTGACCTCAGCGGGTAACTCATTTTAACAAGTCGACAGAATTAAACCTGATCAAGAGACAAGTCCATACTTTTGTCATGTTTTCCTGAGATTCTGTCAAAATATTTTAACAGAAATATGAAATTAACTTTTCTCTATCTTTTTTTATTCGTCAGAATAGAGTTCACTAGATTTTTTTTTTTTTTACAAATAAAATTAATTTCTTATCTTTTCCTTTTTGTCACTTTCTGATTTCTAATAAAAACTACAACAAAAACAGGTTAAAAAAAAAAACTTCAATGAACATTCAAGCAGCTACAAACATTACGATGAAAGACGACATTAAGAAAAAACATTTTTAGCCTCCATCAAAACTGAGACATCTGCTCAGATGAAGCGTTTAGGATTTCACTTCCTCTCCAGATCTGAACGAGGTCACCTGAGGACATGGCTGCAAGTTCACGTTTAATATACGAGAAGAGAAAGAGTCAAAAACCAAGTCCAGACATTGAGAAAGCCAGGACAGAACCCAAACCATCTCCCTCCACAGCTACGCCATTAGCATGAAAAGTCAAAGGTGCAGAGTCGTTGCGGGGGGTCTCAAACCCTGATCATCCATCCATCCATGCATCCATCATTTTTTTTACCCGCTTCTTCCTTTCTGGGTCACTGGTTATTTCTGCACTCGCTCTCATGCAAGGTGGATGCATTCTCTCCCTCTCCTGCTTTTTTTCTTCTTCCTCTCTGTCCTGTGTATCGGAGCTCCTATTGCACATCTTCCGAAACAAAGACTACTGTCATGGATCTGGTCAACTGGACTTTCAACGCAATTGACAAAATCTTTTCAACAAAGCGACAGGGTCCTGGAGAGCCCTCATGCCCCGCTGAGACTCATGCGGCAGGATATGTCATGGATCCGTGGGGAGTTTAGGAGCTGATGTGTCTTTCCGTTTTGTCTCAGGAGGACGCTTAAGATGTTTATATAATTGGATTCATGATAGCAGGGTTTCTGCTTTTTGGCATTGGTGGATTCCTATATTATTGGATATTGAAGAAGATGGTGGCAGTAGTTTTTGTAATGGCAAAACTGCAGAGTCTGTGAATGTTTAATTCGTGCTTCGAGTACTTAAAATCAGCTGATTTACAAGCTAAACTGTAAGATAGAAGTGATTTGTGAGAATCGCATGCCACCTGCGGCTTCTGGGACTCGCCAGCATGTTGGAGACGACCTCAGAGGAGGCTCATCAGCACGGACCAATGGAATGCCCACAAATCTGGCCATTTTGGATCTTGAAAGTTCCAACAGGACTGAAGGCTGACAAAGAAAAAAAAACAGTCTGCCTGAAAAAAAAAAAAAAATCAACAAAACTATTGTGGCTTATCAGAACTGTGCCGGCTGAGCAACATTTTGTCAGGACTATGGCCTATTTGGAAGTACTTCATTGACAAATCTCACCATCTTGACGTCAAATACATATGTAATGTGTCTATAAATGTGCTTGCTGGTAGAGATTTTTGATGTCTTAAATCATGTCCTCATAGGACAAGGTGTGAAGAGATCTTTTTTTTGTAATGCCACTATCCATCCTCATGGCTTTTCCCCTTTTCTATCTAAAAAAGTATTCTGAAAAAGGACATGGGGCCGTGCTTTTCAGCAGCAGCAACGTGCTCTCTGCTCATCTTTCGGACGACTGTATGAACATAATTTCAATGTATTTCGGTGCAATGATCCATCCATCCATCCATTATCTTTACCCGCTTATTCCATTTTGGGTCACGGGGGTCGCCGGTGCCCATGTCCAGCAATCACTGTGCGAGGGGCGGGGTACACCCTGGACAGGTCTCCAGTCCATCACAGGGACACAGAGACAAACGAGACAAACAACCATTCACTCTCTAACTCACACCTAGAGACAATTTAAAGTTACCAATCAGCCTAACATGCATGTTTTTGGTCTGTGGGAGGAAACTGGAGTACCCGTAAAAAACACACGCAGCACGGAGAGAACATGCAAACTCCACCCAGAAAGGCCCCTGACTGGGATTTTATCCATCAACCTTTTCACTGAGAAGCAACAGCTCTATCAACTGAGCCACCGTGCCAGGCACCCTGATAATCCAAAATATTAATAAAGATCTGATCCAAATCTTTATAACTCCATTTCTAAAGTGCCCTGATCGTCTGTGCAGTAATACTTGTGTTCTGTGGCACTTCATACCCAGCTGTCCATGTGGGTGCAAAGTCGGTCGAGGCAGGTGAGCTGTAGGTGGAGGTGGACTGGACACCCAGAACTGATTTTCCTCCAGTTCTGGGTCGCAGTGAGATTCTAACGTTGCTATTTGTTGAATCGGCTCACAGACTAACAGAATTCGTAACAAGTTGAGCGTGAACAAAGAACAGTAAACGTGTTGAAGTTTCTTACATTTCATGGAGAGAAGCAGCGAAGGGTTGGGCTGTTTCCCCTGAGCTCTCTGAGCCAGGATGCTGCAGAGACCCTGCAGGTCCAGCAGAACCAGAGACATCTCCTTCAGCAGCCGGTCCACCTCTGATATCCTGACTTCATACGAGAGACGCTCCAACACACTTTTATCCTGTTGGACCAACAAGAGTCACTTTGTGCAGCTCTGCAGGAGACACGCTGTCTCTGACAGACCGGACACAATTTATCTTCATCTCTGAGTGGAAAACAGTTTGACAGACAACGTGCTCAAATGTGCTGTGGTTGGATTTGAGCATCGCTCTTGATACAAATTGTTATTAAAAGTTAGAAGTTTAACAAACTATCTCATGAATTACTGGACAAAAATATGAAACTCTTAGAAAGTTATTATTTGATGGACAAATTAAATATTAAAGTGAAACCGTCTCAAGAAACGAGAAGGGAATAAAAAACGAATGGAAGTCAATTTTTTATACAGGTTATTCTCATTGAGCCTCAAGGACTCATGTACATGCAAAGGGGTGTGTGTGTGTGTGTGTGTGTGTGTGTGTGTGTGTGTGTGTACACAGCATTGTGCAGCCGTCAGCACTCCAGATGTGCTGATCTGTTCAGTAGACTCCTTGTTTTGCATACAGCTACAGTTACAGTGCCTTGCGAAATTATTCGGCCCCTTGAACTTTTCAACCTTTTGCCTCATTTCAGGCTTCAAACATAAAGATATAAAATTTTAATTTTTGTGAAGAATCAACAACAAGTGGGACACAATCGTGAAGTGGAATGAAATTTATTGGATGTGTCAAAAACTTTTTTAACAAATAAAAAACTGAAAAGTGGGGCGTGCAATATTATTGGGCCCCTTTACTTTCAGTGCAGCAAACTCACTCCAGAAGTTCAGTGAGGATCTATGAATGATCCATTGTTGTCCCAAATGACTGATGATGATAAATAGAATCCACCTGTGTGTAATCAAGTCTCTGTATAAATGCACCTGCTCTGTGAAAGTCTCAGGGTTCTGTTCAAAGCGCAGAGAGCATCATGAAGACCAAGGAACACACCAGGCAGGTCCGAGATACTGTTGTGGAGAAGTTTAAAGCCAGATTAGGATACAAAAAGATTTCCCAAGCTTTAAACATCCCAAGGAGCACTGTGCAAGCAATCATATTGAAATGGAAGGAGTATCAGACCACTGTAAATCTACCAAGACCTGGCCGTCCCTCTAAACTTTCATCTGGAACAAGGAGAAGACTGATCAGAGATGCAGCCAAGAGGCCCATGATCACTCTGGATGAACTGCAGAGATCTACAACTGAGGTGGGAGAGTCTGTCCATAGGACAACAATCAGCCATACAACTGCACAAATCTGGCCTTTATGGAAGAGTGGCAAGAAGAAAGCCATTTCTCAAAGTCATCCATAAAAAGTGTTGTTTAAAGTTTGACACAAGCACCTGGGAGACACACCAAACATGTGAAAGAAGGTGCTCTGGTCAGATGAAATCAAAATCCAACTGTTTGGCCACAATGCAAAACGATACGTTTGGTGTAAAAGCAACACAGCTCATCACCCTGAACACACCATCCCCACTGTCAAACATGGTGGTGGCAGCATCATGGTTTGGGACAGCTTTTCATCAGCAGGGACAGGGAAGATGGTCAGAATTGATGGGAAGATGGATGGGGCCAAATACAGGACCATTCTGGAAGAAAACCTGTTTGAGTCTGCAAGAGACTGGGACGGAGATTTATCTTCCAACAAGACAATGATCCAAAACATAAAGACACATCTACAATGGAATGGTTCACAAATAAACATATCCAGGTGTTGGAATGGCCAAGTCAAAGTCCAGACCTGAATCCAATTGAGAATCTGTGGAAAGAGCTGAAGACTGCTGTTCACAAATGCTCTCCATCCAACCTCACTGAGCTCGAGCTGTTTTACAAAGAAGAATAGGCAAGAACTTCAGTCTCTCCATGTGCAAAACTGATAGAGACATACCCCAAGAGACTTGCAGCTGGAACTGCAGCAAAAGACGGCCCAATAATATTGCACGCCACACTTTTCAGTTTTTTTATTTGTTAAAAAAGTTAGACACATCCAATAAATTTCATTCCACTTCACGATTGTGTCCCACTTGTTGTTGATTCTTCACAAAAAAAAAATTTTTTATATCTTTATGTTTGAAGCCTGAAATGTGGCAAAAGGTTGAAAAGTTCAAGGGGGCCGAATACTTTCGCAAGGCACTGTAGCGTAGCGTTAGCTCTCAGTGGATCGTGCAGATCCTGTTCATGAACAACGGTCGAGCCCGTCATACCACGCTGGCGTGTTTGAGTGTGGACCAGGACAATATCCCTCCGACCAGCTTGTGTTTAAAACGTCACAGAGCCTCAACAACAGGACAGTCAGACCTCATTCTTCAGGGTGGGGGCAGTCAGGGACATGTGGAGCCACGTTCAGAGACAGATTCACCCAAATCAAAAGGCAGTCTGTCTAACAGGGACAGAGGGACACCTTCCCCAGGTGATGGGAGCTCACAGCCTCGGTGAGTTCAGAGTGACAGCTGGAGGTGGTGGTGGTGTGTGCGTGGGGGGGGGGGGGGGTCATCCTCACTGTGCTGGATGAAGATCAGCGGTATCCTCATAACTTTGGTCACCAGTGTTTGGATCCTGTCCACCAGGCTAGTACCTGTTGTTGCTACAGACATCCTTAGCCCTCAGCTCACCTTCACTCAGGAGGAACAAGCCTCCAGAACAACGAGGTCCACCTCCAACCAGACGGCCTCACAAGAAAACTTCTATTTTGAACAAATTCTTCACTGCCTGCTCAACATTTTACGTTTGTGGCAGAAACCTGGCAGAGTGTTGGTGAGTCGAGCTCTGATATTTTTTTATATTAACCTTATTCCTGGGGGCTCTACAGTATAAATGATTATGGGAACAACTTCCTGTCAGACAGGAAGTAGCAGTAAGCACTGGTCAACCATGGTAGTGAAGCACGGACCACAGTTTAATTGAAAGGAATTTGCATTCAGTTTAGCAAATAAAACAAAGTTTGAACACAGACCCAAAACAAAAAGACTGTTCCAGTGAAAAGCTGTATAGTTTCCATCTCTTACCTACAGATGAGGAATTTAGATGAGCGTGTCTGAAAAATGTGAACTTGAAGAGACCACCCAAAACTCTGTATGTGAGCTCATTGTTGACAAACGGCCGACGGAGGAAAACCTGCATCCTACTTTGTGTCTGGACTACAATAAACCACCGGAGAAGAGACGCCGGATCCTCAGAAGGATTGAAAACAGTGAACAAGAATATCAGGGATGATTTCAAGTGTATGGAGGTCACAGCATTATAGTATTTGTTCGTCTTCAGTTTTATGATTTTCTCTGTAATTAACCCAAGCTCATTGATGGAGGACTTTAAGGCATTGGCTGGACTCTGTGTCTGTTTTAAGGTCAGTAAGATTGTGTCCCACCTCTTAGAACACCACCGACCTTATTACAGAGTAGAAACTAATAAACCTCAGAGCTTTTCAGGTTGTTCATTGCTTCACTGTTGGAAGAACCATCAATGAAGTAGCTAAATATGCTAGTAGATGTAGCTAAATATACTAGTAGATGTAGCTAAATATGCTAGTAGATGTAGCTAAATATACTAGTAGATGTAGCTAAATATGCTAGTAGATGTAATCTGCAGCCACTTCTTCAGCTCGTCCTCCATCCCTCGTCCTCAGCAGGCAACAGTATGATTATATTGTCCTGTTTGAGCTCTGACAGGTGGTGTTCCTACATGTTTAAATTAAATCCACATTGATAGGAGAAACTACTGTACATTAGCTCGTACTGTTTGCACACAAACTGGTTCTGGTCCACGCCGGAAGTTGCGCCCATAATTCATGCAATGCAGCATGGGGGCGAGGAATGAGGTGTATAAGCTGCTGTCATTTTAATACAACGGACATCTGGAGAAAGTAGGATTAGTGTTGAGCGCGTGACAACTGACTGAATGAACCTGAACGTTCTGCTGTCTAAGTCTCAGGTAAACACGATTAATGTACTGATGGGCGCTGAACACACTGTAGACACTCTGTCTTTATATATGTCAAAGTAGTAAATCATTCTGAGCTCTGTTAGTTTGTCTCTAACGGCTGAACTATAAGATTTGGTATGTTCACACTGCAGGTACAGAAGTCCAGCAGCTTCATGTTTGTTCATCTCTAATGTCCTGAACGACTGAATCTACAGCAACATCTGATGCCAACGTGATGGATCGATACTGGAGTTTGTTTCTAACTTCAGGACGTCACAATGCTGCACCGGAGCAGCTGTCAAACACTGGACTGAACAAGTATGTCGGATAATAATTTAAAAAGGTTCTTTTTGCACAACAGCTTCAGAATGCTAACACGTGTAGCATCCATATTTACTTCCTTAAACTCAGCACGCTGCGTGTGACGTCATGTTTTCTTCTGCAGGTCGTATCTAAGCTGTAAACTGGTCACACTGGAGTCTGATGGAGGTCGTATTTTAATGATAAATTTGAACGGTCTCACAAAAATGTCTGAACCGAGCATGAAGACCTGCGTGTGAAGGGAGCTAAGAGAAGTGGTCTGTCATGAAAACCCAGCTGTTAGGATGAGACAGTTCAGGGTCACATGTCTCAGTAACCTGTGTGTCCAGGTCCAGAGGACATTGTTCCACCAGTCTGCTGCTTCATTCACATGAAGCTGTGCAAACATCATGATTGAACCAAAGCCCTGTGGGATGTTCTTGGAGGAACAAGTCCAATCTCAGAACTTCCAGGACTTAAAGAATCTGCTGCTGACAGCTTAGTTCAAGGTCCAGTGAAGCACTGAGGGGTTCAGCAGAGAACAGGAGACCTGCTGGTCCTGCCGCTAACACTGATCAGGGTGGATGAGTATGATTTGGATGATCGTACCATCAGCCGTGAGCTCAGCCTCTGGATCTCCTCCTTCTGAAGCCGGAGCAGCTGGTGGAGGGGCAGAGAGAGACCACATTAAGACTTCTGGTTTGTGGATGTTTGTAGCTGCATGTGTGGTGAATGCTCACCCTGCTGCTGAGGTCCTGCTGCTGCAGGAGCTCAGAGTTTTCCACCTCGAGTCGCTTCAGGTCCTGCACGGGCCACCTCACCCCGTCGTCCAGACACTGCTGCACCTTCTCCTGTAGCCTTCACCAGAACACAGACAGAAAATCATCCTGAGGACTGGGCTTGACAGGAAGTCAGTAATACTGGATCCTGTGTGAGAAGAACCAGTTCCTGTCATCAGTGGAGTCAGACCTGGAGCTTTAGACTCTTATTATGAAAAGTAGCCAAGAGCTTTATTTTGAAACTCCAAGGGCCTGGGGGGCCTCATGTATCAATGGTTGTATGTGTCATGTATCAATTAATCCCTCAAATTATTAACACAGTTGTCTTGTGCCACTTGCAGTCCGATGGTCCAGGGCTTCAGAAAATACTTAAACTACAATCGGACCAAACTAGAGCAGCTCGTCTTGAACTGAATTGTTCCATATACACAAATATTACCAGCACAAAGAATAAAGATGGACTTTGGTTAAAAATAAAAGGTTGAAATTGCCTTTTTATGCTTTTTTAGAAACATTGCAGTATCTAATATACTAAATGTTTTATATAATCAACTTTTATTTAGCCAAACTTTACACAATTTTCATACAAGGCATGCTTTAAAAGTTGTTTTACTCTTCCACCATGCAACAGGAACGCTGGACAAAAGACCGTTATGTTTAGAGGAATAAAAACTTGGAACTCTCTTCCTTCATTTGTGTTAAATGTAACAACTGCTAGAGCTTTTAAAAGAGCCCTGCTAAATTATTTTATCATATAAAGTGTTATAATTACAGTAGTCCCTCGTTTATCACGGGTGTTTGGGACCACGTACACCCACGATAAGTGAAAAACCGCTAAGTAGGGAGACAGAAGTTCAAGTTCAATTCAGTAAACTTTGTCATGACATGTACCAGGCTGCAATCACACTAATCGCCTGTTACTCCCAGTCTCCCTCCTTAAATAAATTATTTAATCCTGTAACATTTTAAATAAACAATCCATGCAGCATGGATTGTTTATTTAAAATGTTACAGTATTTAAATTGTAGAGAAGAGAAGTGCAGCAGGATATCAGAGGATGTCACACAGCTCTGCAGCACGGAGCACAAATGTACTTCTTGATCAATTACACTGAAACAACTGAACATAGAAGTTCTAAAATAATTAAAAAATAACTTAACACTTTTATATTTTGTGATTATGATGATTTTACAGGGCAGCATGGTGGCGCAACTGGTAGAGCTGCTGCCTCTCAGCAAACAGGTCCCTGGTTCAAACCCCGGTCCAGGGGCCTTCTGGGTGGAGTTTGCATGTTCTCTCCGTGCATGCGTGGGTTTTCTCCAGGTACTCCGGTTTCCTCCCACAGACCAAAAACATGCATGTTAGGCTGATTGGTAACTCTAAACTGTCCCTAGGTGTGAGTGAGAGAGTGAATGGTTGTTTGTCTCGTTTGTCTCTATGTGGCCCTGTGATGGACTTGCAACCCGTCCAGGGTGTACCCCGCCCCTCGCACAGTGATTGCTGGACATGGGCACCAGTGACCCCCGTGACCCAAAATGGAATAAACGGGTAAAGATAATGGATGGATGGATGGATGGATGGATGATTTTACAATGTGACATACTTTAAATTTTAAGTTGGAAGACAAAAGTCGATTGGTGCATCTGGACAGCAAAGGGTTAACTTTCACAAAGCTGCAGCTGGAGAAATGAGTAAATGAGTCCTCGAGGCTCAGTGGGATCTACCCGTCTAAATAAAGGTTGAATGAATGAAAAAAAAAAATGTGCGCGGCAGAGAAGGAGATCAGCTGATCAGCTGCAGGAGCGAGCTTCCCCCTGTACTTGTGGGCTTCACACATGGTACAAAATCATTTAAAATAATTTATTTTAAATAAACAATCCATGACTCATCCATCAGCCATTTGTATCGTGTCCAATCTTACTTTGAAAAACTGCGATAAACGAACCGCGAAGTAGCGAGAGACTACTGCATACATTTATGAATTAATTATCATATTATGCTACATTACTAATGTTATGTCAAGTGTGTGTAACTGTCTTTGTAATAAATGTTTTTTATGATGTGGACCCCAGGAAGAGTAGCCATTGTTACGGCAATGGGGATCCAAATAAATAAATAAATACAAAAAGTATAAAACGGTGCATACGTGCACCAGGTTCCATGCACATGTCGGGGTGTATCAAAACAAAACGTGTGTAAATATACACACACTTTCTACCTGCTGTGAGAATGTGCTGACCTCCACTCTGTTTCAGTATCAGACAAAGTACTGAAACTCACGTAAATACATCAAAAAATGATTGTTTGGTTTTCTGAACTTAAAGGATATTAAACATGTTGTTCTCATGACTTTGAGCTTTATGGTTTAAATCCAAACAAGGAAACTGAACCACATTTAACCTCAAACAACAGAACAGTTTTCTTCTTGTTTCAGCTGCTCCCTTCTTCAGGGGTCTCCACAGTGAACTAACTCACACGAAGACTCTGCAATTGTTTTTACGCCGGATGTTCTTCCTGACGCAACCACAGACCACCGAGCTACCACAGCTCTCTGTGTGGAGCAGAGAGCTGCTATCTGGGATGCCCAGGGGAGCAGATGGTGGGGGTTAAGTGCCTTGCTCAAAGGCCCAGAGTGGGGCAAATAATGGTGGAGACAGGTGTGGGTGCTTCACCAATCCCACCTACCTTCTGATGTCAGTCTGGGGGTTGAACCGGCGACCTTCCGATCACAGGCCCACCTTCTCTAACCTCCACGCATCCAAAATGATCAAAACAACGTCACTTCAACGTGAACTGTAAAGTTTCTTATGTTTCTGTCAGGTGTGGATGTAAACACGCCTGCGAGGTGCACGGACAGAGGACGAGCAGTGTGTGCAGACTGTGCAAGAGGCTTTTATTCTCACCAAGAAGAAAACGATGTCAGATCAACAAATTCACTCAGAACACGTCTCTGACGACTCCTCAGGTCCACAACATGTACACCATCACATACATGTCCATGAAGAGCTGCGTAAAGTTGTACATAATGTGGAAGAGTGACAGCTGTGGTGCAGCAGGACGACGACACCAGTGGAAGAACTGGGAGGCAGCAGGTTTTCAGGGTCACACCATGAACCGGGCCAGCAGGATGGGCTGACTTCATCCATATGACGCCCTGATATATTAAACTTCCCACAGCACAGAGGAAACACTTTGTTGATTCTCACCGACTTGTTTTCTCTGTGTTTACAGTAATTATTAATAATTAAATGTGTGTAAAGTTGGAAAGGCTCCACCTGCAGCCCCCCCCCCATCCTTACTTCAACAGCAACACACACACACACACACTGTTTACACGTGTGGCCAACATATTTTGACACCCCACTACCTATTGAAGATCTCTGATTCACCTTCAGTGAAATTCTTCAGTTTTCTGCATCTGGACATAAATTTTCCACGTGCAGAGACGAGCACCTCACATGCAAAACATCTGCAGCTACGTGACACACTTCCATGTAGGCGTGTCAAACGAGGAGTCGAGTGCACGTCTTCAACAGAACAGAAGTCCAGCAGCTTCATGTTTGTTCTTTTCATCTCTAATGTCTGAACGACTGAATCTACAGCAACATCTGACGCTAACGTGATGGATCGATACTGGAGTTGGTTTCTACCTTCAGGACGTCACAACGCAGCACCGGAGCAGCTGTCAAACACTGGACGACCGAACAACCATCAACAGCTCAAGAACCACACATGCCAAAAGGTGTAGCAGCCATATTTATGTCCTTAAACTCGGCGTGCTGCGTGTGACGTCATGTTTTCTTCTGCGGGTCGTCGCAGAACTAAACTGGTCACACTGGAGTCTGATGGAGGTTTTATTTTACTGATGACATGAACGACCACACAAAATATCTGATCTGAGCATTCTCGTTGTTTTACCCCCCAACTAAACTACGGCGCATGAAGACAGGAAGTATTTACCTTCGTACAGACTCGTTCAGCTCCGCCTCTCTTTGGTCCTGCAGCTCGAGCAGCTCGTCTTTCTCCTGAAGCAGAGCGCGTCCTTCCTCAATGCTTTTCTCTAACTGGGACACTGTTTTCTTCAGATCCTCGGCTTTCTGCTGGAACTCCACATGCTGAGGAAACCAAGTCAAACCAAATGAGAAACCATCAGCTGGGCTTCACTCAAGTGTCATGTTCAAAGTGTCCCTAAGGACCACATGAAGGGCTTGACGCAAACTAAGATTTAATAAAGAAACCTATTCACTGAGCAGAAAGCAAAGTGTTTACTAAAACAGAAACTGGTTGGTCTAAACAACAAAAGCATGAGGCCCACAGAGAAAACAGGAAGACAACCAGACAAGCAAACGGGATGAGCGACTGAAGAGCAAGCCTACAGTGAAGTACTGAGGGAGTGATGAGGTAAGTGGAAGCAGCCGAGTCTAATGAGTACAAAGAACAGGTGTGACGTGAAGGGCGGGGCTTCTTGAAATGAAAAGTGAATGGTAGTGATGAGCAAATGAAGCTTTTATGAAGCATTGAACCAGTTGGGCCAATTGTTTCAAAAATAGGTTCATTTGTTGAAGCTTCAGTTACAGTGTCCTCTTGTGGCATTTTGCAATGCTGCCGTCAAATTAGGTGTTATGCTTTTGGTGGCACACACTGAAGAACTTCAATGACTAGTGTTGAAACTACTTTACTGTGGTAAAAAACAGATTTAAAAAAAACTTCATCAACTTTCTATGTTGTCTGGTTTGAAAATGTATTCATGCTTACATGTTTTTGAATAAAGATTGATAAATGTGCATTGAAGCGATTTAATAAAAATGTTGCACTGGTATTGTGCTTGTGTAACTGTGGCAGAGTCCGAGTCTTTATCATTCTTAAAAATAATAATGAAATGACGTCTCCAGCATCTCCATGTTTGGAGCTGAAGTGTCTAATCATGGAGGAGGTATCATGATGCTTCAGATCAGTTGAACACACCAAACACTGCACCTGCACAAATACACTAATGTAAATTTAAAAAATAATCATTTGAGCCCATACTGATACATGATGATTAAAATCGCATACATCATTTTACTGTAATTATATTAAATACATGGGTTAAATGGGTTAGATAATATATTTTTTATTCAACCTTTATTTAGACAGGTAAATCCCATTGAGCCTCGAGGACTCATTTACAACAGAGACCTGATTTCAACAAAGAAAGATGACAACAATGGACAACAGAAACAACAATAGACATAAAAAGGCATACAGATTTTAATTAAAAAAATAATAATAATTTTAACAAATAGGATGGCTAAAAATAAGAAAAGTAACAAAAAAAACAGCTAGAATATCTTCACCGCTGAACATTACTATAACTTTTTTGACATTTAAATACCAGAACCACCGTATCATGAGTAGAATGAAGTGTTCCCACAGGTTAGAACGACCTCTTTCCCTGGCTGCCTCTATAATTACTTTATTTCAACTAACAGCAGAAACACACCTACTCTCCAACACATTACAAACATTTTAGAGCTGTTTCATAGTGTTGAGCTCTCAATTCAAAACTGTCTCAACCTGTTACCTGTCAGAATCGAGACGAGGCGGTGCCAGGGAATCAGCTGTTTGAACCGCGAACCAGTCAAGAGATTCATTCCGACAACGAAACAGTTTGTGTTTCGGACGTCACGTGTCACGTGACTTTTTCCGCACCAAAACAGGCTCCGAAGCAGTGCTCCGATGTAATTTTACTGCAGGGTTCGAAGCATGTTTTGAAGCTTTTGTTTCATACTACCATCACTAGTGAATGGAACAAAAATGAAATAGGAGTGAAACCCAGCAAATACATTAGATAGACCTATTTTAATTACCTAGAAATGTATACAGATGGCTCAAAAAACACAAAGGGGTGGGTTGGAACAGGGGTTTATATTCCAGAGTTTGAAGTTTGCATATCTAAACAAATTTCTGATCAACTTTCAGTTTTCACAGCAGAAATGGTGGCAGTCATATTTAGTTTACAGTGGACAGAGGAAGTTAGACCGGACAGGGTGGTGATATGCACCGACTCAAAGGCTGTCATAGAAAGCTTACAGCCTAAAGGAAACAACAGGAAAGATCTACTTCTAGAAATACAACTCACATTATTCAGGTTACACAGGGGAGGTATGGACGTTCATTTTTGTTGGGTGCCAGCACATGAGTGGTGGAAGGAAATGAAAGAGCAGATAAATTTGCTAAAAAAGCATTAAAAGGTGAAATAACAGTAAATATTGCTTTAGGGAAAGGAGAGGGTAAATCATTAGTTAAAGAAAAAGAAATAGAGAACTGGCAGAAAACATGGAATGAGGACAAGAAAGGAAGAAGATTATATAAAATTCAAAAAACAGTTAAAATAAATAATTATAGAGAACGAAGTAGAATAGAAGAGGTGATAATAATGAGAATGAGGGTTGGACATACACTTCTAAATGATACAATGTACATGATGGGGAAAAGGAATAATAGTAGATGTGAGGAAACCGAAAGTGTGGAACATGTGCTGATGGAGTGCACTAAATATACAGAAGAAAGGGAGAGATTGAAAGAAAAAGTCAAAGAGGCAGGGAGAGTATGGAGTTTAGGAGGAATACTAGGAACAGATGTTGAAGCAACACCCAGATTTATTTCTGTATTTCCTGCATGTTTAGTGACTTTTTCTGTTCTTTAAATGTTTCTCTGGTCAGAGACTTGAAGGTCTTTAGACCAGAGGACAAGAAAGAATAAAATACAATAGCGTTCTCATCTCACTTTGTCCTCACTCCAACTACCTCCATATCGTCTCCAACTGCATCCATATATCTCCTATTTGTCTTTTTCCAGGCAGCTGCATTTCTAACATCCTTCTACCAATATACCCACTGTCCCTCCTCTGGACATGTCCAAACCATCTCAGTCTGGCCTCTCTAACTTTACCTCCCAGTTGTTCAACCTGTGCTGTACCTCTGATGATCTCATTCTTAATCTTATATCCAGCCTTGTCACTGCTAAGGAGAACCTCAACATCTTCATTTCTGCCACTTCCAGTTCTGTCTCCTGTCTTTTTGTCCATGTCTCTGTCTCCAGACCATACAATATAGCTGGTCTCACCACTGACTTGTAAACTTTCCTTTGACCTTTGCTGACACCCTTTTGTCACAAATCACTCCTGAATCTTTTCTCCATCCCCTCTATCCCGCCTGGACTCTCTCTTTCACCCGTTTATCACACTCCCCATTTTCCTGGACAGTGGACCCCAAGTACTTGAAGTCCTGCACCTTTGTGAACTCTGCTCCTTGTCGCCTCACTGTTCCACCAGCCTCCGGATCAGAGCCGATCCTTGATGCATTCCCATCTCCCCCTTGAAGCTATCTGTCACTCCTACATCACATCTCACCACTGTCCTGCTGTCCTCACACATGTCCTGACCTGTACCAGTCTAACAAACTTCTCTGCCACTCCAGATTTCCTCATGCAATACCACACCTCCTCCCTCAGCACCCTGTCATACATTTTTTCTAAATCCACAAAGACACAATGGAGTTCTTTCTGACCCTCTCTGTACTTCTCCATCAGCATTCTCAAAGCAAAGATGGCATCTGTGGTGCTCTTTCTTGGCATGAAACCATACTGCTGCTCACAGTCACCTCTCGTCTAAGTCTTGCTTCCACAACTCTCTCCCAGGTCTTCACTGTGTGACTCATCAGCTTCATTCAAACAAGAGTTGTGTATTTAATTTTTTTTTTACAGTTTGTCATTTAAACAATATGTACCGGTAAATAAACCAAACCACCTCTCCACAGATGCATGGCTCCACACAGGAGGGCAGCCCTTCAGGACAAGACTCAGCTGTGTACCAAAATGTTCATACTTTGGACAGAAGACAGATGTTTTATTGGGGGGGGGGGGGTGTGTGTGAAAAAAACCATTCATATCAAACGAGAAAATTCTACTTTGAACCGAGGAGGAAATACAGATATCAGCTTGTTAAAACCTACGATACAGTATTAAGCCTGACTCTCAGTCAGCTTCACTCTAAATGACACCTTCATGCACAGGAGCAGAACACCTCTCTGTGAGCTAGGACAAGAGACCCTAATGACCCTCTGTTGTGAGGGGTGAGTAGCTTTAATCTGCATTTGAATCCAGGTCCATAACGGAGCCTCTCATGCAGCTTTACCCCACACTGTCCAGATTGTTTGAACAGAGAAAACCTGGACGGGGACAAGAACATCTTTAACCACAGAGTTCCAGTTGTTTTGTTTTCTAACTGTTCTGTGAGTTTACCACCTCCTGGATGACTGAGAATCTACACCAGCTTCCACCCTCTTCCACACAAGAGAACCGAGAAGGCTCAGGCGGAAAAACGCGCAGCGTTGCCCGAAACGCCACAGTCACTACAAACATGTCTCACCGGGATCAGGTCCAGGAGAAGACTAGCCAGCCGTCTGATACTTCATCTTTAAAAGACAGAGGTGGACATTATTACTGGATTTGATGGAGCTGGTGGTCAGTGTGCGTACCTGTTTGGACTGAACCTGAACTTCATCCAGTGATGGCAGATCACAGAGATACGTCTCCAGAGTCTCAACCCGCTGCTGTTTCTCTTGGTTCTCTTCACTCTCTCTGTGACTCTTCTTCTTGAGACTGGTGATGTAACGATCCCTGGTCTTTATCTGATCTCACAAAGAACAACAAATCACACGGGGTCAGCAGATGTAACGGTGCATACCCTTCCTTCTACCTTTTCCTCCAGTTTCTTCATGTCCTCTGTGTATCTCTGGGTGATCTGTTTGAAGAACTTGTTCAGATAGAGAACTTCCAGCTCAGTCACGGCTAGTTTCCTCCCCAGTTCTTCATCGCAGCACACTCGGTCAGACGGCCACTTGCACCGTGCTCTTACTGCTGACTCCTACAGAAAACCAGGCCAGTTTTGAGAATATGCTCCTTGGATTTGAACGCTCCTTCATATCTTCAGTCTTACCTGAGCATTCAGGATCAGAGGGTCATCAAACGGGTTTCTGTGGTTCTGCAGAACCTGCTGAGTTCTGAGCTCATTCTCTCTGATCCGAGCATTAAGCTGCAAGATTTGCAGCTTCTGTCTAAAACCCAAGATCATGGAGTGTTGATGTGTTTAATGAATTCCTTTAAATAACAAAGTGCTGCTTGTTATCTGACAGCAGGTGGAATACCTGTTGATCTCCAGTTCGCTCTGCCGCAGCAGACCTTCTTTAACCTTCAGCAAAACATCCTCAGGAAGAGAGGACCCCATCATCATCATCATCGCTGGTGTTGCCTGCCAACACACCAACACATGGTGTCACTTCTGCACGTTCACAAACACACAAGTGATGACACAGAAATGTTCAAAACAATGAAACCTGTTAATTTGGAATAATCTCGTGTTTTAAGCCAGCCATTGCAGAGCACAGGAAGGTGGATCTCTCAGACAGGCTGTATCAGAAAGGGCATCTGGCTTAAAACACTCGTCAAACCAAAAAACACCATACTGGATCGGTTAAGGCCCGGGTTAACCGCGACCACCACCGGTGCTGTTGACAAACAGGGTGCCGGTGGAAATTGTGCTACTGTTGGTCGAAGACCACGAGGAGGGAAACGTGTCAAGAGACCGAAGGAGAAGAGGAAAGTCAAGAATGTAGGACTGAGGGTAGACACTCTAAATGTGGGGACAATGACAGGCAAATGGAGAGGGCTGGCTGACATGATGCAGAGAAGGAAGGTAGGTGTTTTATGTGTCCAAGAGACCAAGTGGAAGGGCAACAAGGCTTGCAGCACTGGAGCAGGGTTCAAACTGTTTTACCATGGTGTAGATCAGTGGTGTCAGAAGCATTTGTAATGTGGTGGTGGGGGGGGGTCCTCCCCCAGAAATTTTTTAATAAAGTAGATGCCGTTTGCTGCATTCTGGTATATTTTAATAGGTTTTTAAACATCTATGTTTACCTCCTTATGTAAACACTTGATTCAATAACTATTTTAGAGAGCACAACACAGCTAGTAGCCTTGACTAGAGTTGCATTTGGGCCCAAAAAAATCTGACCCGGCCCCAGTCCGTAGTCATCATTTCCAAACCCCACCCGACCCGACGAATTAACAGTAATTACTGGTCCAAGGCAGATGACTGAAACACTACATGCGATGTGGAGTTGTTGGAGGTATCCAGGAAAACCTGAAGTGGACTTTTAGTGGTTTGAGTATTCTCCTTTTAATCAAGTGGAATGGATTTGTTGTATGTATGTATGTTTTATTTATTAATTTCATTTCATCCAAACAACAAATATAATACAATTTAAAGAAAAGAAAAAAGATATACAATCACAGAAATAAAATGAAAGGCAGCAGAAGAAGAATGAATTCTTATAATATCTGCCCCTTGTCCCCAAAATATATTCCAAACAAAATTACTATACAAAAGCAAGACGAATTAATAAAAAAATAAAAAGATAAAAAATAATAAAAAAAACTTAGCTAAAATATAATAATAATAATAATAATAATAATTATTATTATTATTATTATTATATATTGTTCACGAAGAAATGGAAACAATGCTGGGTGAAATACTATTTCATGGTAAATGTGTGTGTGTGTGTGTGTGGGGGGGGGGGGATCCAAACAATTTTTTTTTATGTGGGGGGATTACTCCCCCTTCACATCTAATTGTTGTGATGTCTATGGTGTGGGTAGAAAGAAATGGAGTAGGGGTGGTCCTGAAGGAGGAGTTGGCAAAAAAAAATGTAGTAGAGGTGAAAAGAGTGTCAGATAGGGTGATGTCTCAAGGTAGAAGTAGAAGGTCTGATGCTAAATGTTGTCAATGATTATGCTCCACAGGTTGGATGTGATGTGGAAGAGAGAGATATCTGGATGAAGTGATGGAGACGTGCATCAGGGAGCATGGACCCCACCCCGTGTATCCATTATAACCATAATGTTTTATGTCCTTCTCACCTGGTGAAGCCCTTGTTCCTGATGCCAGGATGAAAACCCATCTACACCACATCCCTCAGTTCTGGTGATCTCACCAAGTCCAGGTTCCACGTTGGCCCTGTGCTCCATCTGCTCAGTCAACCACATCTGCGTCCGAACAGCTGCTTGGATTGGTGAGTCTCTGTCAAAGTTTTGACCCATAGGAGAGTCCAGGCTGAGCCCACAAACCTGTCGACCTATCAGAGAAGGTTCAGCGATATGATTCAGGTCCAAACTGTTCTGCTTAGCTGGTGAAGAATGAGCTGAAGATCTACTGCTGTGGCTGTAGTGGTAACCAGGACTGGATCCTGGGGACTTCTGCAGAAAGCTACTGCAGGTCATGGAAGAAGATAAAGGTAGGTAAAGATCCATGTTTGAGCTCTGGTTCTTCTTTCTGTAACCGTGCAGTAAACCTCGATCCAGAGATCCTTGGGCTCCTGTATTGTAGTGACTGCTGGGTGTCCAGCTGGAGCTTTTATCACTTCCTGAAGACAACTTGGTGAAAGACGAGGACCTTCGGATGGGCTGATGGTCCTTAATGTCCAGCTTGCTCTGTGCCCCCATAGGAGACGTAGCTGCTGTACCCAGGCTGCAGAACCTGCTCCAATAGCCCGAGCTGTGGGGTGAAGCAGGGCTTCTGAGACAGCTTCCCTGCGAGGACATCAGAGACGGCTTGACGAGGCCCACGGGAACGCCTCCGTCATCATCCTGGCTCGAGTGATGCTGCAGCGGCACAGTTTGAGGATGAGCTGTACGGGAACCACGCTCATCTGACGAGAGATAAGAAATAGGTCAACATCATGAACAGGTTTTACAGACATGTTCTAAAAGTTTAATCTTTTCTGCTGCAGTGACTCCTCTGCTGACGTACAAAAACGAGTTATTTTGTTCCTTTTTTATGATTCTGTTCTCAACTATCTGTTTTGGCATTTATATCACTCTTTTATTTTATTTGTTTTTCTCCTTCAGGGGGTTCCATCCCTTCCCAGCATCCTCTCTGTCACATCAACCCTCTGCAGATCCTCCTCCTGCACCAATGTCTTTTTCTTAAAGACACTTTCTCCACGCGTCCACCCAGACACTCGTCTCCATCCACTCCACGCTGCATGTCTCTCTCCTCTTCACCTCTCTGGTGCTCTGACGGTTGGCCTCCATCAGTTCTGTAATTTGAGTGAATCTCATTGGCTCATTGTGGGGTGGGGGTGGGGGTGGGGGTATAGTTTCTACTGTTAGAGCAACAACAAAATATGATCATATGAGCTGAGACAGAGTTTTCAGAGTCGCAGATCACCATGGGAACAGATGCTGAACTCATAACCTGGCAGCATTCAGAGCTTTAAATCGTCCTGTTTGTTTATCTTTGCCTGAATGTTTTCAAGGTCCAAAGACCTGTTGTTGTTGTCCTATTGTCTTGTAATCTATAAATATCACCTGCCATGTAAAGGCAGTCGTTTTTGCTCATGTCTGGCGCCAGGTGAATTTCTAATGTGTCAGAAGTATCTAAAAACTCAATGTCCTGTCAACGCTCTGCTGTGTTTTGTCCCCAGTCACCAGGCAAAGAGGGAAATACGGTCACTTCGTACTGCGCTTCATCTTGGTGTAAAAAAGGTTCATTTTGGAAAATTGGGTTGCCACAAGAAAATCCAAGATGGTACCATCATATGTGTGTACGGTAGTACCTCGTTTATCGCAGGTGTTAGGGACCACGACCACCCACGATAAATGAAAAACCGCTAAGTAGAGATACAGTAGTCCAAGTTCAAGTTCAGTTCAAGTTCAGTAAACATTGTCATGACATGTGCCAGACTGCCATCACACTCATCACCTGTTACTCCCAGTCTCCCTCCTTAAATAAACTATTTAAATTTAAATACTGTAACATTTTAAATAAACAATCCATGCAGCATGGATTATTTATTTAAAATGTTACAGTATTTGAATTTAAATTGTAGAGAAGAGAAGTGCAGCAGGACATCAGAGGATGTCACACAGCTCTGCAGCACGGAGCACAAATGTACTTCTTGATCAATTACACTGAAACAACTGAACATAGAAGTTTTAAAATAATTAAAAATAACTTTTAACACATTTATATTTTGTGATTATGATGATTTTATAATGTGACACACTTTGAATTTTAAGTTGGAAGACAGAAGTCGATCGGTGCATCTGGACAGCAAAGGGTTAACCTTCACAAAGCTGCAGCAGGAGATATATGTGTGTGGCAGAGAAGATCAGCTGATCAGCTGCAGGAGGGAGCTTCCCCTGCACTTGTGGGCTGCACACACTGTGCAAAATCATTTTAAATAATTTATTTTAAATAAACAATCCATTGCTCATCCAGCAAACAAACAAATATTTGCACAGATTTACAGATAGAAATTGTCCTAAGAGCCTTTTTGTTGGTAAAGTCTGTTAAAATGAAGATAACACAACGTTTTGTTAGTAAATTTACATTTATGAATGAAAAATTTGGCCAAAAGAATTAGCAAGTTTATTATAAAAAACATTTAGCATACTTTCTGGGAAATCTAGAAAAACAAAATAAAACAATTTCCCAACGCAAGGAAAAATTCCTTAAAAATGGTTATTAATAAACCTGCTAAACTTCCAAAACCTGCTGTGAAAGGGCAGTGCCAAAAACCATGTGTCACAGTTTCTCACCACAAAAACTGCAATCAATATTTATGTCTCTTAAATTTTATCATATAATGTTTAGCGGGGTATATTTTATGAAGACTTTTAAATGACACTTCCTTCACCTTATTTATAATTAAATATTTATGGGGATTCATCCAGACTGTCTTCCAGTTGATATCTGGGATATAACGGCTCCAATAAGATGTTATATATGGACGAGAAGCGATGCCTTCTTGGAACAACCTGCGGTATTCTCTTATTGTTGTTACCATGATCCAAGCAGGTTTTCCACTGGTGACTCAGCTGGACCAGGGCGAGTAACTGGAGTAGACAGAGAACTGTTAGTGTTTTTAAACAAGGTGCCTGAGGGTATAGCGCTAACCACCATTGAGAATTCTTGGAGATTAACTGGAAAATTATATAATGAGCAGAATTCATTGTAGGTGAGCAGTCGTCCGTCCTTATTAACCAGCTGAGCCACCAGTACGATCCCATTTTGAACCCAAGTAGGAAGTTCCTCCTGCAGTGTGGGCTGCACACACGTGTAGCAGGTGCTAAATACTTTATATTAATTCATTTAAAATAAAAATTCCATGCTGATCATGTGGCTCATCCATCAATCAGCCAATTGCGTGTCATGTCTAATCTTATTTTGGAAAACCGCGATAGAGAGTCCGCGATAAATGAACCGCGATATATCGAGGGACTACTGTACATGTGAACCTTGTGAGCTGGATAACATTAAAAATAAGCGACTTTTCGAGCTCTATTTTGGTGTGCGGTTGCATCTAGTAAAATTAGGTTGGCACATCAAAATCCAAGATGGCCACCACCATATATGGTGGTCAGTTTATATGTGTAAACTGACCACCACGATCATTTCAGTAAACTTTGTTTTATACTTTTTATATTTGCAGAGTTTCCTCAAATGATTGGGGTGACCAAAGACTACTCTAATGGTGGCCAAGGCCACCACTGGCCACCCCTTGGCTCCTCCATTGCACCTGGTGGTGGTGGATAGAATTGCTCCCTCCACTCCCAGGGTTCGTTGCTCTGCGCTGCCTCAGGCAAAAATTAAATAAATTAATTAACTCTCTACTATCCACTACCTGACCCCCTCCCTCGGTGATGGGGACGTCAGCATACTGCTTGTTTTACCAAGAGTTGAATCCAGAACCACACCTTTATGTTTAACTATAGTTTTTATCATTTACACAAACTTTTGTAAATATAATTACGTTACTGTTAAGAGGGACTAGTGGCACAGAGGCTAGAGAAGGTGGGCCTGTGATCAGAAGGTCAGCAGTTCAACTCCCCATACAGACAACTAAATGTGGGTGGGAAAAGGTGAAACACCCACACCTGCCTCCACCCTCATTTGCCCCACTTTGGGTCCATGAGCAAGGCCCTTAACCCCCACCATCTGCTCCCCTGGGTGTCCTAGATGGCAGCTCTCTGCTCCACACAGAGGGCTGTGGTAGCTCAGTGGTCTGTGGTTGTGTCAGGAAGGACATCAGGCATAAAAATGATTGACAAGTCTTCCAGCGAGTTAGTTTGCTGTAGTGACCCCTGAGGAAGGGAGCAGCCAAAAGAAGAACTGTTGTTTACAAAATAATCAATGTCTATAATTTAAGGAAGCTTTAAGGTGGTTATCTTCTGTAGTTCATATGTGATGTTGTCACAGAAGACAGACAAAGACAAGTCTTTGTCCAAGCTAGGCTAATGACTAGCCAACTGAGTGCACGTTTTGAAATTTAAAAACCACCCGAGGCAGGGCAGCCGACCTGGGAGCAGAAAGTCACGTCTCGACTCCTAGCCATTCCCACATGTCGTGTCTCGACTCCTAGCCATTCCCACATGTCGTGTCTCGACTCCTAGCCATTCCCACATGTCGTGTCTC